AGACGGGGCCACGGGGCGCCGGCGGCACGCGCTGGTTTTCGTGGAGGGAGGCGGTGGCGATGAGGGCGGGGAAGAATGCGGAACGATGTTGCTTCCGGTGGGAGGGGTGAGAATCTGATATATGGAATGGTAGCTCGAGGTAGCTGGCCGGATTTTGATAGTGTTAGTCGTAACAGAGATAATGATAAAAATGTAGATTGTCAAGATATCAAATTTGATCAGAAGTTACAATAAAGATGCTGAAAAGATGACGAACATTCCTAGAGCAAGCGGGAATTGGCATCGATAAGAGTTGAGAGAATATTAGTGAAAATGAGGATGAGGTTGCGAGAAGGTTTTTAATTTCGGCGATGATATTCTTGGTAGAGTCGAAACTATTTACAACTGGCAAAATCAATATACTACTTCTCAGAGAGAGAAAAAAATTGGTTTGTACACTATGACTTATTGAAGATATTTTATTATTAATAACTGTGAAATATGTCAGCTGGATTATAAAATCTTCCATACTCCGAAACGAATATTAACAATACATTATTCTTAATCGTATTGCCCAATTACCGATACTCCATCAAAAGCCCAACTGATACTATCAGGGTAAGAGCAGCAAACAACTGCAGCTAAGTCACGAATTTTTAAGAAATCCATTATGTTTCTAAAAATAATGATTTCGAAAATAAAATTTTAGATTGGGCGGAAAATATTTTTAAAATGTTAGTTTCGGATTAGAATTTGTTAAAGTAAAGGTAAGTTAAAATTGGGTTTGGCACTAGAAATATTGAAAAGACTTGTGTGGCGTGGGACCGTCCTGTTACCTATCTGGCAGACAATTTAGGTATTTCAATTGGTACTGAATCTATGTTGACTACTTGTCTATCCTAAACTAAAAGGGATATTTCAATACTTCTTCTTTATTCCTTGTTTATGTTGGAATAGAATTATTATTTTTTTCCGTAGTAAAGTTCTTCTTGTAAAGGCTTGAGTTTGCATGCCAAATGTAAGCGAGGATGAAACTTCTAGTTCACCTAATAATGTTTGATCTACAGAATAAGTTTCCAAGTTAATGCCACTTTGTAGAAAAATACCGCAGATCACTTATCTGAATTATCTGAAATATGCATTTTTTCTAGTAGGGTATAGAAAGATCAGTACATTTTAATTTTCTGTCGATAGCCCATAGCTTACAAAGATGGAAAGAACTTAGCTAATGTCCAATCAATGAACAATGTTCTTCCAAACCGGTAATCAAGAAAATGGGGAAACGTCCAACTTCAATGTCCTTCTGAAACTATTTAGTAATGACACGCAGGAACTGTTCCCCACCTAAAACGCAGTCCAACTTGATCTGAAAATTGACTAGGTCACTATAGGTCACGTACCTTGCAAATGAGCGGAAGTACTTAAAAAAAGAATTAAAGTCCATTATTCTAAGTCGTAGCGCTGACCCCGACGACATCGGAAACTCCATCTTTAAGCTTCCTTGTGTATCTTTATGACTTGTTCTTATAACGAATAATACTGCCTTATAAACTCGTGTTACGTATACGACCAACGTCAAGATTGGGGCTGCTGAAGTCACGCGACGCGAAAATGATGCAACTCACCCGACTTAGAACACTGGAAGTGGAGACGGCGTTAATACCTCTCAAATATATAACAAACTATGTGCGAAAACTGTTTATTGTGTCTACAGAGAACTACTATAATAATGATGTTGACAAGTGAAGAAGAATATATCAATGTACAGAACGTGACAACAGTCTTTACACACGGGCATGTAGAAATTTGGTAATGAATAAAATAAGTTTTCTTCTTACTTCTCCTTACTTAACATTCAAAATGTATATGAACTGTCAAGAATCTAATTTTTAAAAACCGATTCTATAATAACATTGCCCCGAACAAATGTAAATGTGTATAACACATACGCATCTTATTCTAGAGCAGAATATCTAAACTTCGGAATCGTGACCACTCAGACACATAAAAGAGAGGGCGCGAAATTAGCTGAAACATTAACCTAAAATATAATAAAATAACTTTAAGAGAAAAATACTGTATCATAAACATTTTACAGCATTTATAAGTACTATATAAAGAAAAGAAATTAATCAAATAATTCGCGACGATTTCTCGAATACGGAAAGGAAAACGACTCCGGTTTGAAAAGAAAATTTTTGGAAAGTCCATAACATTTTCTACAGTATTAATTCAATTTCATTTCGAGAGCTTAGACTTTGGGTAATTTAAGCCAAAAATAGGAAATCAGTTTCGGCGGGGAGGAGTAGGCCGGGGGAGACGCGAAGAAAGAAAGGCAACGCAGGGGTGGCGAAGATGGGGCCGAGGGAAGTGGGGTGGGATGGGGTGGGACGGGGAGAGCGGGCAAAGCGGGCGGAGAGGGTGGCGTGAAGCGTGTGGGAGCGGTAGGAAAGCGATCGGAGGGGGTGGAGTAGGGGAGCAGGGTGGGGGAAACCGGACGGAACGGGGTGGTGTGAGGGCAACAAGAGCGGGTGGTTCGGAGGGATGCTTCGAAAGAAGGTGCGGATGGAAATAAAATCATTTCTAATTTACACTGTAGAGAGAATGCATTCATTTTCCCATGTAAAAGATGAATCTGATAAATGCCCGGGTTTAGCTAGTATAGGTATAGAAGATAATTGAGGCCTTGCGAATCCAAAAGAGTTAAGTACTAACATTTTAGAATCCAAGGTTTTTGACTTTTAAATATTATATAAATCGGTGCCAAATCACAGTTAAAGGAGATATGTTCGAAGCACCTTCGAAGTATTTGTAATATCTACCTAGTGATGACTAAGATGACTGAAAATATCACAGGTTTTACTTCATTGTATGAAATATCTCACAATATGTTCATTAGCAAAAAATGATTATTTTCGACTCCTCTACAAGTTCTAGAAGTTTGTATCATTTGTTCTGAGAATCCTGTATTAATTCTGTGAGAATTCTGTATTAAATAATGTGTGTTTACGGCTGAATAATCTTCCTAGATTTCTTCCCCCAATTTATAAACATTATTTTAACAATTGTGAAGCACTTTTGAATTAGAAAATGTCCTTCAATGAAAAAGGGTTGTTTTTTCACAGTTTCAATTTTTTTTGATTCAAACTTAGTGGCAATTATTATAAGTCGTTTGATGGTGGACTTATTTCGTTAGAAGTAATGCCTTGTTAAATCACCAGTTGTATAACATTCTCAAGTAATCTACTTGTAGTACGCTAGTACGCATGGTTGTCAGTTTTCCGTTTGGAACGAAGTATTAACGTAGATTCAAAGTAACCCGTTTTTACGGTAGAGGTAATATTTTGTGGCATTTTCATTAACATTTAAAGTACAATTACACGTAAATGAAGTGTACGTAATATAGGAAGAAAATAAATATTAATTACTATAAAATAAATTAACAATATTAAATATCCAATACTCAAAATTACTTTTAAATTAAACATAATACCTGGTTTTCCAAACTAGTTAAGTGAGCGAAAGTAAGACAGAGCTAGTGGTTCTAGAAGAGAACACATGTGGAAATATAACTGGTTTCTAACTGTAAGAGTAATTAAATATTCAAATCCAATAATTAGCACCCATCTACATCCGTTCTATCACTATTGTACGGACAGATGAATACTTTCCATCTAAACTTCTTAATTCACTATTTTCTATAAAGCTGGATATAAATTGAACATACAATGTCTTCATATAATGAAGAGAATTTATTGCACATGGGCAGTATTTGTATTTATAAAGATATGCATTTTGCCGATAGTATGCAAATGCCAAGATAACGTATAATAAATGGTTGATAAAATAAAAGACATATAGAAAATATGGGGAAAATGTGTTTTAGAAATAATACAAAACGAGATAATTATATTATATATTTTGTTAGTCACGAACATTTCAGAAAGAATGAATGTTGTATTGGAAAACAGTAGTTTATGTGTTTAAACCATATACACGCGCCGCACGCTCACACACACACACACACACACACACACACAATGTTCTCTCACAAAAATGGCTCGAAGTAACGTCCATCGGCTTCGATGCATTCTCTGAGCTTGCGATCCGTTCTTTGGGGTACTCTGTTCAAAACCGCTGAAGAACTCAGGTTTTGTTGAATACGCTGTCTCACGATGCTAACATCAGACACAGAAGTTGCACAAACCAAGGACTTCAAATGCCCCTTTCAAAATGTTAAAAAAAAACGAAGTACATAGTGGTTGTACCATACAGACTTGATCGAGTGCGTGCTAGGCTTTAAGGTTACATCCTGAAGATTCTTTGTTCTGCACGGCACATCAGGTGCTGATATGGAAGTTGTATAGACACGTTCGTCTTAAGGTAATTTCCTAAATGAGACGGAGACGCTCATGGTCGATGACGTAGGTGACGTCAAGGCGTTGGAGACAAAATATGACACCATGGAAATTTTTTCTTCCGATGAAAATATGATGGATTACCCTGACGGATAAACGTCTTATTCATTCTTGGTATGTATACATCCGTACAATCAAAGATAAGCATCGTGATACTCGAAAACATGCAACATGTTCGATAGAGAAAAACATCGTCATTTTAAAATTAAAATATTATATTTGACGTCAGAACGTCAAATTATTGATATCCTCAAACAAACGAAACATTCACGAAATTTCAAAGAAATACCAGGGCCAGCGATTGGTATTAAGCCCGAGTGGGTACTTGATCCCGGTGGGGATCTACTCTCCCCCTCCATCTCC